ACTCTCCCCCCACAAGCCCCCCTTTCTTCCATCCTCCCCCTGTGATGGTATGAAACAACCCCATCTGGAAATACCTTCCCTTTTAAAGGCAGGCTCCGCCAGGCAGCTTGCACCCTTGGGAAGATGCCACATCATGCTGCAATTGGGTGCCTGGGAGAGGCTCCAGGGATGGGGGGCTTGGAGGGGCTAAAGGGATGTGGGGTATCAAGCCCCTGCCCACCTGCATGGATATGGGACCAAGACCCTCGCTGGCCCTCAGATGGCATGGAGCAGGCAGGCAGCAGGCAGGAGTGCCTCCAGAGCCAGGGCAGTTGAGAATGATTCCATGATTAAGCCCAACCTTTCGCCATCCTGATGCTGCCATGGGTGAGCCATGGCACTGCTTGGTGTCTATGTTACAGTCAGGACAGAAGGCCAGGAGGTGCAGGGCCAGTCAGGGCTGAGCGCTGCTCCTGCTGCTGAGTCACCCCGTGCCCAGTGGCACCGCGGTCCCCTACACCAGGGCCTCCAGGGACAGAGTCACTGGAGCTGAGCCAGCTGACGTCAGCCAAAACAGAGCAGCTTGGACAGAGCTGGGGGTCACCAAGTGTGCTGGGGGGCTTGAGAGGAGGGGGTGCTTCCCAGGCAAAGGGCACCCTCCCCCAGCACAGCTCCCCTCCCTCAGGATGACCTCCTTAGCTGGCACAGGTTTGTTCATGGCCCTGGGGTTCCCTGATCTGGCCTACCATCTGTCCAGGAAGTGGAAAGCTGTGGGGCTGCCTATACAGGACTGGGGTATTCCCCATTCTGTGAATTTTTGCAGAGATAGGCTGGGCTTTCTGATCCTCAATGTACTTTCTGGCCAAGAGGAAGACTGAGGAGACAGTACAGAGCCTGCAGTGCCTCGGGATAACCTGGGGACCTTGTTCTGCTCTCGGAGTGATGGGGGCCAGAGAGGGCCTGGAGCTGCTCCAGGCAGGGTCCCCATCCAGCTGTGCTCTCCACATGCCTGGAGCAAGAAGGGTTAACAGGGAGGCACCCAGCTATAAATACCATGTATGTATGTCCCACGCCCCATGAGTATGAGCTCGGAAGGCTATTTCGGTTGGGTGCCTGCTGCTTTGGGAATGTGCCTGAGCAAGGACAGGGGGCTGACGTCACCGTCACTGGGGCTCAGACCCAGCACCTGCTTGGGGTCACTCAGCAGCACTCAAAAGTGCCCAGACCCTGGCCAGTGCTCAGCCCCCCATGTCAGAAAGGGAATTGGGGTGGTGGGTCTGTACAAGCACACTCAGGGCAGGAGTCCCCCCACATCAAGTCCTCTCCTGGGCTCTTCTTTGTTCACTCTCTGGGGGGCTGGAATCTGACCCCATATGGAGAGCTGTGGGCACCCCTGGTACTCTTGACAGGGGGTGAGTCAGGGCATCATCAGAGGCCTTTTGGGGTTCTCAAGACCAATTTTGGGACCATGGCTAGCAGTCATGAGGTTTGGCTTAAGAGTGTCAAGTGAGGGTTTGTTGTGAGGGTCTGAGTCCCCTTCTCTCCCTCGTGGCACCCACCTAAGCTGTCTGTCTGTCTGGGCCCCTCGTGGGTGGCACTGCACCCTGATAGGGGGGTCACAATCAGCCTGCCCCAGTTAACTCTCCTCACACCCCCAGGGACAGGTCAGAGCACTGGGGGCCGGAGTCAAGGCTCCAGGGGACTCCGGCGGTGCTCAGGGGTCCATGGGTATCGTTATATCGTTCTTGTCTGCCGGGGGGTGGGGGCAGGTGAGGGGCAGTGGGCGGGGGCTGGTGGCCATCCCCCCCCCATCAGCATCCCCCAGCTGCCCGGCAGCAGGAGGGGCGGGTGATGTCAGCAGGATACAAATAGCGGCGCGCAGCTCCCCTCCTGACGCCTCTCCGAGCTGCCGGCCGCTCGCCAGCCCCGCCGCCTGCTCCCTGCTCCGGCCTCGCCGACCCACGCCACCACCATGAGCCAGTCCTACTCCTCCAGCCAGCGGGTCTCGTCTTACCGCCGCACCTTCGGCGGCTCCCCGGTCTTTCCCCGTGCCTCCTTCGGGAGCAAGGGCAGCAGCGGGAGCTCCGTCACCTCCCGCGTCTACCAGGTGTCCCGCACCTCGGCCGTCCCCAGCCTGTCCAGCTTCCGCACCACCCGCGTGACGCCCCTGCGTTCCTACCAAAGTGCCTACCAAGGTGCCGGCGAGCTGCTGGACTTCAGCCTGGCCGATGCCATGAACCAGGAGTTCCTTCAGACCCGCACCAATGAGAAGGTGGAGCTGCAGGAGCTCAATGACCGTTTTGCCAACTACATTGAAAAGGTGAGGTTCTTGGAGCAGCAGAATGCCCTCATGGTGGCCGAGGTGAACCGCCTGCGGGGCAAGGAGCCCACCCGCGTGGCTGAGATGTATGAGGAGGAGCTGCGGGAGCTCCGGCGCCAGGTGGACCTGCTCACCAACCAGCGAGCTCGTGTGGAGGTCGAGCGCGACAACCTGCTCGATGACCTGCAGAAGCTCAAGCAGAAGTGAGTGGGGGCCCTTGGAGTGTCCCTGCGGGCATCCATCTGTGCATCTCTATCCCCAGGGATGGGTGGGGGCAGAGATCGCCCTGACAGCCCCTTTGGTGGTTACTGTCATCCTTGCGCCTCATGCTCATAGACTATCATGTCCCCACTACTCTGTTCCCCTTGACCCCTGTCCCGATGCCCAGGCAGCACCCAGTGGGCAGGATGGCTCCGGTAATAGGGGTGTCCCTCTGCCCTCCCTTACGGTGGAGCTGAGGCTGGGCTGTGATGCCACAGGACACCCAGAGAAGGGAGATCGAAGTGCACCTCACCATGGGGTCCCCACCTCTGCTCACACCAGGGAGGGCTGGCGAGCCCATGAGTGAGCTGAGCTCTGTGGGATAGATGAGC